CTGGTAGGTAGTCACTATAGTGCTACCACGAAATGCCCTTAGAACCTCAAAAAAGTGTTAATAACAAAAACAATGTGCTTATACCATAGGCCCGATGTGTCACAACAAGACAGACTCCGCCGGAAATGTTCGAAGACAATTTCCCGGAAACCACAAAAGGTTCTTAGAACATTCTTTGGTAGGGCTATAGGCAAGCCAGGACGCTTCGCCACTGCTTGATCATGGGCTTCGCCCCCCCCCCCCCCCCCTCACCAGCCCCTCGCCCTTGGAGGACAAGTCTGCCTGCTTGTAGATTCCAGGTGGCCAACATCTTGGGCCTAGATGTCGCCGTTCGCACGTTCTAGCCACAGGCGTCTATGGACACGCTTGCTGCCGCAGCGTTCATCTAGAAAGATTCGGGTGGATGCGTCTACGGTCGAGCATCTGATTAAGAAACCTCCTCCCGGAAAGCTTGACGATCGTTTCTTAATCAGCTGTGTGGAAAGTTGGCCCAGTTTCTTGAGTATGTTTGTCCTTCCAGCGTGAACAAAAGATGGCTCAGGTTTGATCAAAGAAACTTCAGGAGCACTGGCCCAGGCTTCTTAAACTATGATGTTCTGGATCGAATTCTCGGCTGTATAGACAACGCGGCAGCTGCGTTCGGCGTAGCACAAGGCCGGAGCATGTCCCACATGGTACTCCAGCCTCGCCCCATCTCCGAGGCGGGGAAACCTCTCAGCCTCGCACCATCCCCCCCTCTGCCTCGGCCTGCCCTGCCCAGTCGTGCGCTGTTCACACACACGACCCTTACTGTTTCCGTTTGCTGTGTGTGTGTATTTGTATTCCCTGCATGGGGGCGGCATGCGTACAGTCAAGCCGCTGAAGAAGGAACCCTTTTCGTTGGGGAGGGGCTCGGTGTTCCTTGACTGTTTCAAAGTCTGCCTCGGGCTTTCCTGAGGTCTCCATGGGAAGTCGAGGTTGAACTTATGGGAAAAAGGGGCCTCGTTCCTTATTTAGGGTTCCTTAGGTCAACGCCTCGACTGTATGTTTCTCGGTTTGATAGCTTTCGGCCCCTCGGAGTGCTGCCGCCGCAGCGCTGCCCATATCTCGGGGTCGGTGCTTGGCCTCCGCCGCTCGGAGCGGCGCCGTGGCTCCAGCGCGGGCCACGCTCCTTGATTCGAGTCCCTCCTCGTCGCTGCCATACCCCTCCTGTTCCCTCCTCAGCCTCTCGGGAGGGGAAAGACACAGACACACGTTTACGTCGATTCCAAGGGAACTCTGATAACACGTTGGAGGTGGACTTGGGAGGGCGACAGCCGAAAACAGACGGAAGAACGCTGTGTCTGGTTATCTGTGTGTCCCTGGGCCCCTTGAACCTCTTCCTGTTGCTGCTGGTGCTGCCCCTCTTCCCCTCCAGCTCCAGTGTACAAAGGGCCCTTCCTGGCCGATCGTATAACCAACACTGGGCCAAGGCCTGCGATTGTCCTTCTGGGGACTATCGTTCGGACGCCTTCGCGCGCGTGCTGGGGTGGCGCGATCCGTGTCAAATAATACTATGCGGGCCACTCGCGCGTCTTCCGCGCGCATGTCGAATTCCTTCCAAAACCTTCATCACCGACGCGAAGACACCGTCATCGTCGTCGGCGTGATCAGCATCGGCGCCGTCACTGGCTGCCCCGTCGTCGGTGTCAGCATCGTCACCAGCATCGCTACTATCATCATCGTGTCTACCGTTGTCGACGTTGCCATGCTGCCGCGCCCGCCCAAGGCGCCGAGTCGCAGTGAAGTGCCCGCTGGGAGGTGCCCAGCGGTCAGCGCCGCCGCGGCCACGCCGGTCGCGCCAAACTAGCTGGCCGCTGCGCGCGCGAGCATGCGCGGGCTAGCGCGGCCGCAGAGATGCACCAACCAACACCGAGCACTCATCGCAATTGCTTCCGCATGGGTTTTGCGAACCAATTTGCAGGTGGTTGGGTGGGATGTCTGCGCTAGCAGTGGAGTGGGCAATTTCAAGTTGAGCAAGTGATTTATTATCCTTTCTAAAAAGAGAATAGGCTCTGCCCCACCCGGGAATTATCGCCCCCCCTTTCGGGTATGTAAATCATGTATGATTCTGACCGCATGTCCATCTTACATATGAAATCACAATGTCCCAGGCCAACCGGATTCCCTTCCCTGGGGTTCCATTTATCAGAAAAAACACTATGCGGTAACATTGTTGTTCTAACATCGCACTTTCTCCACGAATCCCTTGCAAACCATGGGACGAATTGCGCACGCGCGCGTCGTCGCGCGCGCATGCCGAAATCCTTCAAAAACAATCGGCGCCGAAACATGAAAAAAACACAAGGTTTCGCAACACTGATTTGCTAAAAAAATTCCGCGCGAGCTCTTGCGAAAGCTTAAGAAAACAGAGGTGTTTCAATATTTTCACAACATGCACTCAAACGGGCTTCGCGCGCGCATGTCGAAATCTGCCGAACGCCCTTGCGCGTGTGCCGTCGCGAGAATCCTTTGCAACAGGTGGGACGAAGTGCAGACGCGCGCGTCGTCGCGCGCGTATGCCGAAATCCTTCAAAACCCACCAGTTTCGGAAGGATTTCAAAATCGTGTGTCCAAACAACCTACAAAAACCCAAGGTTCCGCAACACGGATTAACAAAAGCGTGCGCGCGCGCTCTTGCGTCGTCGGCGTCTTCCTTCCTCCCTCGCCGTTGTCGTCGTCGGCGTCGCCGTCCTTCCTCCTTCTTCGTCGTCCGCGTCGTCGCCGTCCTCCCTCCTCCCTCGTCATTGTCGTCGTTGTCGTCGTTGTCGCCGTCGTCGTCCTCCCTCCTCCCTCGTCGTCGTCTTCGTTGGCGACGTCGTTGTCGTCGTCGTCGTCGTCGTCGTTGTCTTCGTCGTCTTCGTCGTCGGCGTCGTCATCGTCGGCGTCGTCGTGGTCGTTGTCATCGTCGTCGTCGTCGTCGGCGTCGTCGTCGTCGTCGGTGTCGTCGTCGTCGTCGTGGTCGCTGTCGTCGTCGGAATCGTTGGAGACGTCGTCGGCGTCGTCGTCGTCGGTGTCGGCGGCGCCGTCTTCGTCGTTGTCGGTGTCGTCGTCGGTGTCGGTGCCGTGGCCAAGTGCCATCTGGTACCTACCATCACGGTCTTGTCTTAAGAGGTCTTGCGGCCAAATTGCGGGTGGGAAGGTGGGATGTTTGCACGAGCAGTGGAGAGGACAGCTGCAAGACGGGTGGCACCGCGTAGATCGCACCCTTTCTATTCTCCTTTCTTAACAAGAGAATAGACTCCCCCCCCCGCATTATCACTTCCCCTTTTGGTATGTCAATTTTCATGCGATTCTGCCCCATTGTCCATCTTGAGTCTGAATTTACATCCAAGCCGGTACTGTGCGCGCGCATTCGTTTATCAAAATTCGTTTGTTTTCAAGAAATTCTTACAAACAACGAGACGAAGTACATGCGCGCGCGCCGTCGCGCCCGCGTGCCAAGTCTTTCAAAAACCTTCGGTTTCGCAAGGATTTCAAAATCGAGTGTCCAACAACATTTTCAAACACAGGGTTTCGCAACACGAATTTTCAAAACGGCTTGTGCGCGCGTTCCTGCGGATTCTCATGGAACCATCGGTTTTCCAACATTTCCACCAAATGCTGCCAAACGGGTTTCGCGCGCGCATGTCGAAATCATTCGAACGCCCTTGCGAGCGTGCCGCCGCGAGAACCCACTGCAAAAAACGGGGCGAGGTGCACGCGCGCGCGTCGTCGCGCGCGCATTCCGTAATCCGCCAGGAACCTTCGATTTCGTACCGGTTTCAAAATCGAGTGACAACATATGGTTTCGCAACAGCAGTTTTTCAAATAAGCTGTGCTCGAGTTCTTGCGCATTCTTGAAAACACAATTTGTTTCAACATTTTCATGGGATTCTGCCAAACGGGCCTCTCGCGCCGCATGCCGACTTCATTCGCGCGCCCTTGCGCGCGTGCTGGTGTGGCACGATCCGTGTCGAAGAAAACCATGCGGGTCACTCTCGCGCGTCGGGTTGCGCGCATGTCGACCTTTTCAAAAACCTCCATCGCCGACGCGAAGACGCCGTCATCGTCGTCGGCGTGATCAGCATCGGCGCCCGCACTGGCCGCGTTTTCGTCGTTGTCAACATCGTCACCAGTATCGCTACTATCATCGTCGCGTCCACCGTTGTCGACGTTGCCAAGACACCGCGCCTGCCCGAGTCGCCGACTCGCACTGAAGTGCCCGCTGAGATGTGCCCAGCGGTCACCGCCACCGCGGCCGCGTCGGTTGCGCCAAACTAGCTGGCCGCTGCGCGCGCGTGCTGGGGTTGGCGCGGCCGCAGAGATGCACCAGCCAACGCCAAGCATGCATCGCAATCGCCACCGCATGGGTTTTGCAAACCAAGTTGCGGGTGGGTGGGTGGGACGTTTGCAATAACATGGGATGTGTCGACGCGTTTGTTTCAAACCAATCGCACCACATATATTGTTCCACGTAGGTAGCACCATATAGATCGTACCACCTATATCGCACAACATACGGCACCACATCGATTGCATCACATATATTGCCCGTCATTGCACCACATATATCGCACCACATATATTGCACAGCGTAGGTTGCACCATGTAGAGTGCAACGCACATGTTGCAATATATTGAATGCGCCACACATATGGCCCCACATACATTGCGCAACCTGTATCGTTAAACGCACGCGGTTGTAGATTCACGCTGGTCAGCATCTGTTATAGGTATTGTGGTCCATTGGTGTTAATTTGGTTTTGGCCTTTGAGTCTACATGTGTTGGCTTTTGGCTCGATATATAGTTTCGTCTCTTAATGTTCGCCTCATAGCTCGTGCTCGTGGATGATATTGGTTGGCCGAATTTATACTGACGTGATCGAATGTTGCGTTGCTGCGTGATGACATCATACACGGATTTCACGTGCCTGCGGAGAGACGTATGCACGTCGGATAAAGTGTAAACGAGTTTCTATGTGAGTTTTAGCTGTGGGTGCTGGTTGGCTTGAAGCTCGTGCCTTTTGTCGGTCCAGGGTTGCTCCCTGCTGGTTGATTTTGCAAGTGTTTTGTGTTTTGGTATTTGGCGTCCAGCTGGATGCCAATCTACTTCAACATGTCCACGATGGAAATGTTGGTCTCCTGTTCTGGCTAGTATTTGTTTCCTGTGTACTTTGGCTCAAGAAGGAGGTCGCGCTTAGTACTCCCAAGCTGCCATAACTGTTCTGATATTCGTGGCAGCAACATCGTAAACGTCCAGGGGAAGATGACATTGGGGGAGTCCCCTGCAACGCCCGACTCGAGCGCGCAGCAGTCCAGTTGCTTTTCTCCGCAGGTGACCCCGCTTCAGCCGCAGCCACGGCGGGCTGTCCCCGCCCAGTTGAACTATGGGCTGGTGCAGCTTGGCGGCACGCCGAGCTCGCCTCTCTGCGCCTCGATGTGGGCAGGCAGCGACGACGGCGAGGCGCCCTGCGAGCAGCGAGAGCTCTGGGGCCGTGCGCCCAGCGACGCCAAGCGGGCGGCGGCCACCGTGGCCAGCTCCGTCAGCACCTCGGCGGGCCTGACCCCGAGCCCCGACGCCCAGGAGCACGCCCCCGTGATCGGCGGTGGCGGGCGGGGGCCGACGCCGGGAGGCTCGCCGCCCCCTCCTCGGGAAGCGGCGCCCCAGGGAGCCAGGCCCACGAAGGAGGTGCAGACCCAGGGCAGGAAGATCTTCGTGGGCGGGGTGCCCCAGGACATGAGCGAGGAGGATTTGCACCAGGTTCGGCGGCACGCCCGGGGGAGGGGGAAAGGAGAAGGAGCAGGTCTGCTCAGAAGGCTCGGAAGCCCCGGGGCCTTCCGATTTCCCATGCCTTCCCCGAAGACACGCAGCACTTTTCAGAAGGCGCGAGGGCTTCTGAGAAGACCCGCCGCCTCTTGAGAAGGCCTTCTCCTCCTCGCTGACCCCGCTCGCTCGCCGCCGACAGGTGTTCAGCGACTACTGGGTGAAGAAGGCGTGGCTGCAGCAGGGCCGGGCCGACGCCAACGGGCTCCGCAGGCCCTCGGCGTCGGGGCGCAGCCATCGCGGTTTCGGTTTCGTCATCTTCTATGGCACGGATGCGGTCGACCAGATCCTGGGCACCGCCGACGCGAAGTTCATCAGCCTGAAGGAGGGCAGGTTCGAGGGCAAGCAGATCGAGGTGAAGCGCGCAGTGAGCAGTAACGAGATCGTGACCGGAGGATGGGCTGCAGACCAGCCCCAAGCGCAATCGCGCAGACCTGCGGGACAAGCGCCACCGACTCGGTGGGCCTGGCGGCAGGCGCAGTCGGAGCGACTGGCGAAGCCAGCTGAGGCACCGCCGTCTCCGTTGCCCGACCAACAGTCGGTGCCGGCGGCCTTCCCGACTCGGCCAGCGCAGGCGTTCTGCATGTACCGGGTGGCGTGCGGTGGCGTGCAGGCGATGATGCCGCAGATGCACCAGGCCTCACACATGCCGCAGATTTCCACGATGCACCAGATGTGCCTGCCGCAGATTCCGCAGATGGCCCAGATGGCGAGCGTCGCGCACGTGGCGTACTCTCAGATGGGGCCTTGTGGCAAAGTCCATGACTATCCCATCCAAGGCATGGCCACATGTGGCCAAGCGTGCACGGTCCAGCAGCCTATGGCATTGCTCCAGCAGCCGTCTCTTCTACCACAGAACCAACATGGGATGCCACAACAGTGCCACGTGTTGGCAGCACCATTCCCAGCAGCAGCAGCAGCAGCAGCAGCAACATCATTGCCAGCCGCTGCGCCGTGATCTTTTCCTTCGCGCACCCTCTATGGACTCGCGGATGGACTGAGTAGCTGTGCCGAACTCGACATAATAGTTGTTTCTCACACTGCGAATTATAGCGTACTTGAACACCTCGAATAGCGGACGCGCGTGAGCGTGCGTCAGCGCCTGTCTTGTGGAGACAGTATCCTTCCCCTCCCTCAGCGATCTCCTTCTGCAGCGCACTACTGCACAAGACCGTCCTGACGACTGTTCTTTGGCGCGCAGGCGCTGGAGCCTCCGCCGGGCCCGCGTCCTCCTCCTCTTCCTTCTTCATCATCTTCCTCCTTCCTCCCTCCTCCCTTCTCATCCATTCTTCTTGCCCGTCGTCTTGCTGGACAGCAATTTGTCGAATTGCGCATCCGCTTGCCTTGAAAGGCACTGCCCCAGGTTGGCTTGAGTGGGTTTCATATCCATCGCCGAGCCATGGAGATACCAGAGACAGGGAGCGCGGCCTTGTCCCACGAGCAAGGTACTGCCGCCATGCACGCTCCGAGGTGGCATCATGCTTTGCACAAAAGGCTTCGGTGAGCAGCTGTGCGCCACTCGGGAAGATCGAGTAATAACATCCTCTATCGCCCTCTCCTGCTCTTGGGTTCTTGGCCAGGCCGACCATGCCATAGCGCGTGCTTCTAGAACATCTTGTTTCGGACGATCTCCACCACATGTCAATTATTTCATTCATCTCTTCGCTGCCCATCTTCTGTACCTCTGTTCGTTGTGCCTGCTCTGCGTGTCTCCTGATCGTATGTATGCCTTGGTGTATCGGAAGGCTGCTTCGTGCGTGCGTGAGTGCTGTCCCTGTGTGTGGTGCGACTGACGCGGACTGTCCTGGCAATCCGTCCGCAAGGTCGTGCGGGGCGCAGGATCCCCCCCCCCCCCCACGAGATGGAGCAGCCGATCTTCGCCCTCCCCCCCCCCTCGGGGCTCAAGAGACGGTGGTCAATGCAAACGGGGGGCAGCCAGAGCGCTGGATCTTGCCGGATCCTGCAGAGCCAGGGGCGCACTGACCCGGGTTGGGGCGCAGGATTTTTGCAGGACCCTGCACGATCGTGCAGCATCCTGCAGAGCCTGGTTGACCCAGGCTTTGCACTGACCCCGGTCAGGAGATCTCCTGCCCCCCTCCTCCGGGCCACCTGAACGGGGGCTTCGATCAGCCAGGAGCTGCCGCCGTGGGTCGAGGAGGAGGAGGAGGAGGAGGAGGAGGAGGAGGAGGAGGAGCACGAGGAGGAGGAGGAGGAGGAGGAGGAGGAGGAGGAGGAGGAGGAGGAGATGGAGGAGGAGGAGGGCCTGCCGGAAGGAGTCTCGGCTCGAGAGCTGGTCCCGCATAGAGCGCGTCCTCTGGCCCACGGCCTTCCTCGGCGGGCGCACGGCCTCCGCGAGCGCCCTCCGTCGCGCACGGCCTTCCCTGTTGCGCACGGCTTCCTCTGTGCCCGCATGGCTTCCTCTGTGTCCGCGTGGCTTGCTCTGCGATCCGCGCATGGCTTCTTCTGCTATTCCACTGGCTGCCTGTCGATATCCCAATGGCGTCCTGCTTCTCGGCCAACAATCGTCAACCTCAGAAGTAGGGTAGAGTGGAGTAGGGGAGCGTAGAATAGGGCAGGACAGAGCAGAGTAGTATGTGACAGAATTGAGTAATGGAAGGTAGTTTAGAGCATGATCTGATTGAGTCGAGAAGAGTAAGCCAGAGTATAGTACAGTAGAGGATCGAATGCTATACTAGAGTGGCTTAGGATAGTGGTAGAGTAGAGGAAGAGTGGAGTAGAGGAGGATTTTAGTAGAGTAGAGTAGGTTCTACTCGGTCAGGGGAGGGTCGGGTAGGGTGGGGCACATTAGAGTCGAATAGAGTAGAATATATCAGACCATGATATGTGGTGTAGTTCACCAATTCCTTACCTAGGCTCTGCCTAGAAGGGTTCTTACCCTCTTAGCTTAAAGGGGCCGGGCAGTGCTCCCCGCCCCGGGCGGTTCCCCCGGCATCCGCCCCGCGGTTCCCCCAGTTACGTCCCCTTAGCTTAGCGTTGTTTATATCATATTAGCTTAGCTTACTTCATCTTAGCTTAGCTTAGTTTCATCTTAGCTTCGCGTAGTTGTTGCTTTGCTTTGCTTAGCTTAGGTTAGCTTAGTTCAGCTTAGCTTAACTTAGCTTAACTTAGCTTTAGTCTAGCTTAGCACATCATAGCATGACCCATCATAGCATAGCATAGCGCAGCATATCATAGCATAGCATAATATAGCTCAGCATAGCACATCATATCATAACATAGCGCAACATAGCATAGCATAGCGCAGCATAGCATAGCATAGCATAGCATAGCATAGCATAGCGCATCATACCATAGCATAGCATAACACACCATAGCATAGCATAGCGCAGCATGGCATATCATAGCATAGCCTAGCATATCATAGCATATCATAGCCTAGCATAACACAGCGCAGCCGAGCGTACCCTAGCATAGCATCGCATATCATAGCGCAGCATACCAAATCATAACGCATCATATCATAGCATATCATAGCATAGCATCGCGCAGCATATCATATCATATCATATCATATCATAGCAAATCATAGCATAGCAGTAAAGCAAAGGCACATCAACAGCAACAACAGCAACGCAAAGCACAAGCAACGCACAGCACAGCAAAGCAAAGCAAAGCAAAGCAAAGCAAAGCAAAGCAAAGCAACAACAAAAGCAAAGCAAAGGAAAGGCACAGCAAAAACACTTCTTGCACTAGGTTCAACACTGCTCGCGGCTCCTGCAAGAGCTGCAGGCTGTTCAGCACTGCTCGCGGCTGATGTAGATGTAGATGCAGGTGTAGATGTACATGTAGCTGTCGGTGTAGATGTAGATGTTGCTTTCCTAAATGCTCCAACTTCTAGGTAGGATCGCACTGGGATAATTCTCAACTTGAAGTTGTCCACTCCACTGCTCGCGCAAGCATCCCGCCCACCCACCCATCAACTTGGTTTGCAAAACCCATGCGGAAGTGATTGCGATGAGTGTTGGGGTCTGGCTTTCATTTCTGCCGCGTCGCACCCGCGTCTCCCCCACACCTCCCCTCCTCCTCCTCCTCCTCCTCCTCCTCCTCCTCCTCCTCCTCCTCCTCCTCCTCCTCCTCCTTCTCACACAGCACAGCGCAGCACAGCGCAGCGCAGCACAGCACAGCACAGCACAGCACAGCACAGTTCAGCACAGCACAGCACAGCACAGCACACAGCACATTGACACACAGCACGTACACAGCACAGCACAGCACTGCTTAGCACAGCTCAGCTCAGCTCAGCACAGCACTTTCTCGACACCAGAAGGGGTGCGCAGGGGGTGGTCCCTCAGCGCGGTCTCTATACGCGCCAATGTTGCAGGGCCGAGCAGGCGTGGCATTTGCTCGACACCAAAGGGGGTGCGCAGGGGGTGGTCCTCAGCGCGGTCTCTATACGCGCCAATGTCGAAGGGCCTAGCAGGTGTGGCACTTTCTCGACACCAGCGGGGGTGCGCAGGGGGTGGTCTCTATACGCGCCAATGTCGCAGGGCCTAGCAGGTCTGGCACTTGCTCGACACCGGAGGGAGTGCGCAGGGGGTGGTCCTTCAGCGCGGTCTCTATACGCGCCAATGTTGCAGGGCCGAGCAGGTGTGGCACTTGCTCGACACCAAAGGGGGTGCGCAGGGGGTGTTCCTCAGCGCGGTCTCTATACGCGCCAATGTCGAAGGGCCTAGCAGGTGTGGCAATTGCTCGACACCGGAGGGGGTGCGCAGGGGGTGGTCTCTATACGCGCCAATGTCGAAGGGCCTAGCAGGTGTGGCAATTGCTCGACACCGGAGGGGGTGCGCAGGGGGTGGTCCCTCAGCGTGGTCTCTATAGGCGCCAATGTCGCCTGGCCTAGCAGGTGTGGCACTTGCTCGACACCGGAGGGGGTGCGCAGGGGGTGGTCTTCAGCGCGGTGTCTATACGCGCCAATGTCGCAGGGCCTAGTTGGCGTGGCGCTACCGCGACACCGGGAGGGGGCGCAAGGGGTGGTCCTCCAGCGCGGTCTCTATACGCGCTTTTGTTGCAGGGCCGAGCAGGCGTGGCGCTTTCTCGACACCGCAGGGGGTGCGCAGGGGGTGGTCCCTCAGCGCGGTCTCTGTACGCGCCAAATGTCGCAGGGCCTAGCAGGTGTGGCACTGTCTCGACACCGCAGGGGGTGCGCAGGGGGTGGTCCCTCAGCGCGGTCTCTATAGGCCGCCAAATGTCGGAGGGCCTAGCGAGCGTGGCACTTTCTCAACACCGCAGGGGGTGCGCAGGGGGTGGTCCCTCAGCGCGGTCTCTATACGCGCCAGTGTCGCAGGGCCTAGCAGGCGTGGCACTTTCTCGACACCAAAGGGGGTCCGCAGGGGGTGGTCCTTCAGCGCGGTCTCTATACGCGCCAATGTCGCAGGCCCTAGCAGGCGTGGCACTTTCTCGACACCAGAGGGGGTGCGCAGGGGGTGGTCCCTCACCGCGGTTTCTATACGAGCCAATGTCGCAGGGCCTAGCAGGCGTGGCATTTTCTCGACACCGGAGGGGGTGCGCAGGGGGTAATCCCTCACCGCGGTTTCCATACGCGCCAATGTCGCAAGGCTTAGCAGGCGTGGTATGTTTCTCCGCACCACGGGGGGTGCGGCCCTCACCGCGGTCTCTGTACGCGCCAATGTCGCAGGGCCTAGAAGGCGTGGCACTTTCTCGAAACCAGAAGAGGTGGCAGGGGGTGGTCTTGCACCGCGGTCTCTATACGCGCCAGTGTGGGAGGGCTCAACAGTCGTGGCACTTTCTCGACATGCAATGGTATCGGTGGGCAACGGCCACCAACAGCATTCTCACATGCTTCAGTTCAGATGTCACCACGCCAGCCATCATATAAGTATGTGGGGTTCTTTAGTAGCGTAATTATATATTTTTTGGGGACGCTCAATTTTGAAAGCCTTCCGAAACCGAGAGTTTTTGAAATATTCCGGCATGCGCGCGCGACGACGCGCGCGTGCGTGAGCACGTCGTCAGATTTGTTGTTGCAAGATTTGCGTGACAAGGTATGGTTTTTGATAAACGGGTGTGCGCGCATAGTAAGTTTTGCACAGGATGGCGGGGGGGTGGGTCGATACCGGCTGGCCTAGGATGGCATGGATTGATTCATAAGGCAAATCAACGAAGGGTCACGATCATATATGATTTGCCAATCGAGATGCGTGGCGGATGCCCCCGGGGGGGGTGATGGGGGTATAATCTATTCGATTCAAGAGAGAAGAGTAGAGTAATGGAGGATGATGGTTCAACAATGACCGGGGGTCGTGTTCACGCGGCGGCGCCCGGGATGATGATTAGAAAAAGCCGGCCCCGGGCTGGGAAACTATTTTTTTAATCGTCCCCCCCCCGCCGTCCTCGGGCGCGTGCCCCCCCCCGGTGACGAAACACCGCACAGGCGAGCCTTGCTTCTGAGCGTTCCCCCCCGGTGTGGGAAACTATTTTTTTAATCGTTCCCCCCTCCTTTTATTCTTAATCGTCATCCCACATTAGGTTTGCTAGACTATGGTCGAGTAGATCAGAGTATACCAGGGCAATTTAGAGTAGCCGAGGGTGTATTCTACTATGGTAGAGTAAGAGTAGAGTA